GCAGACCTTTCACCCATCTGTCAGTCCTTCATTCATAGATCATTCAAAGGGCAGGCATATAGTAGCTGGCACTCTTGATGAAAAACCATGACTGAGCACATAACTGCGACTTTAAACTGGCCCAAGATGGCCTTGATTGCCATCTTAGACTAATCTTACTCATACTTGAAAAATTAATGCCTGATAACTTTCCTGGCTTTCAGCCATGCTCAGCTAGAGCACGATTGCATTGTGCATTTTTTTACGTTACATTCACCTTACATTTTGTTTTATTATCAAATTCATTTTTGTCTATTAAAGGGCCTGTGTCAATTGGATTTGTTTGCTTCAAAACTGCTTTTCTCCACTTACAGTTCAAGTCTATAAGAATGCAAAAGCAGCTGAAGCAGGTCAAATGCAGTTAAATTGCAGATCGGTTGGATCTGCATTAAGTTCTGGATGGTCTTAGAGGATTCCTAGTGATGTCAAATGCACAGTACGTTTCCACATGGAAACTCATTCATACTGGCCCAAAGGCAATTGTTGTATATGCAAACAGATGTTCTCAATGAATTCAGAAGATGTACAATAATAGAAAATGTGTTAGATAAGCACTGTCATTGCTGACCATTTTTCAACAGTGTGAAGTCCGAGACTGTCATCCTGATTGCACTTGTCCTTAGTGTGAGTCACACACTGAGGACAAGAATGCCGCCATGAAGTCTAAACTCCAATCCTACAAACCTGTTGCAGGTCAGTAATTCACTAAGATTTAACAACCAAATATCAAGTGCTTTTGTGGTGGCCCTGTCAAGGAGTGCCATTGGTTTAAATTTAGCATTGTTGGGTGTTTTTACTAAACAGAAGAAGCTACAGTGGTATGGGTTAAGGATATTTCACCCTAGCTAATCACGGAGGAGGTTTATTGCCATTAATGTGGGATGTGCTAGTGACGGAGACAAATATTTGGAAAGTCTTCTAAAAGGGTCTTTGTCTCCCAGGGTTTGCTGTGGAGAGGATGTGAGTCTAGGGACCTGGTTTTTACCTCCCAGGTTTTGCCTGGAGAAGAGATCCACTGTCAGAAGTCTTTTTGCCCCTAAGGCCTGCTGCTTGGGAAGGCCTAATCGGCTTCAGAATCGAGTCCCAACTCCCAGGGATAGGAAATGGACTTATGCTAGGACTTAGAACAGGGTTTCTCAACCAGGGTTTCATGGAAGCCTAGAGTTCCTCCAGAGGTTGCTAGGTGTTCCATGAGCAATGAACAATTTTTGCCTCTCATAAACGTTCCCACTGACACCACTGACCTTTTTAGCTATCTGTAAAGTGGTAATTCTTCCCAATAACCACAAGCATAGGGAGCATTCTTCCCACTGTTTATCACATCAATGTATCATGAGTTGTAGATACAGTAATTTGTATGGTTCTCTGAGACTGGAAAGTTATTTCAAGGGTTTCTCTGTGTTGAAAAAGTTGAGAAAGGCTGACCTAGAATATAGGAAGGTGGCTAGTAAAGAGGAGCACCTTCAGATAGTCAATTGCTGGTCTCAGTCAATTGCTTGCTCAGTTAAATGCTAGTCTAATAGTAGGTCTCAGCTTAAAGGCACACCCCTGGCAAATGAAAGGGGCTGAAGTTACTTCTATTTGAGCAACGGGAATTTTGTGGATGTTTGAGTAACCTGTAAGCTGTATTCCTCTCTTCCTTGCATTTAAGACAATAAGACCTGTAAGCAAAGATATACTGTATAGCATAGACATCCACTGCTTGTAGGTTGGTGAGTGCTTTGGGGCAGCTATAAGCCAGATTACCAATAGAATGGCTAGGAGCAGGGGCGGACTGACAACTCATGGGGCCCCCGGGCAATAGGGGATCATGGGGCCCCTGTGTCCTCGCCCACACTCAAACCACACCAAAAAAGCCTATGAAAGGTGCCAGGGGCATCACATGGGGCCCCCTACTGACCCCGAGCAGTACCCGAGCTCCCGAATGGTCAGTCCACCCCTGGCTAGGAGAGCTCACTAAATCCAGTGGCTGCTTAAGAGGTCATTGTTATAATATATTTGTGTCCTCGCTGCTCACATATTTTGTTTAAACTAAACTCAGGATGCTCACATCCATCTTTCAGAGATGTAGCAAATACATATCTTGCTGGTGCCTGGTCCTTTGTTTCCTTCTTAGAGCGATTTCTGGTTTCCAGATTTTCAGCCTCTTGATTGGCCAACAAGAAATAACATGCACACAGGAGATAGTCATTCTGCAACAGCCGCAGTGTGCCAGGAATGCACACTGAGCTGGGCATGTGCAGCTCAGTGTACCTTCAATAGCAGACTGCAAGCAGGCATGTAAGTGTGTTTTTTATCAGAAGAGACAACATGCATCTTCTGCAATAAAGAGCTGCGGCAACTATGGCATAAGAGTCACGAGGACACAGGTACTGGAATATAAATAAGTCCATTTTCCAACAGCAGAGGTCAGCATAGTCCACTATTTACACGTAGATGTCATTCAATAGAAAAAAAACTAATACTACACAGGCTGAGCAGAAATGACATGTCATTGGCTGGTCACACTCTACAGGGAAAGAGATAAAGAAATTCATTTGTACAGTGAGATTGTAATGTTAGTGTTTGTCTTGGACTCCTTGCTAGCTACTTTGCTTTTATCTGTAGATAAGCAGTGTGCAGTGATTGCAGTGTGTACCTATTGCCTGGGGATGTATTTATAAGGAGAGGAGATGTAGGTGGGATGCATCCTCAGTGTAGATTCTGAGCCTCATTCTGTCAGTTGCCAGAGATTGGACTCCCTGTGTGCAGTAACAATGGCTAAGCTTGCCTTCTGCTTTCTGGTTGCTTTTGCAGGTCTAGCACATTTCACTAATGCCTATGAGTGGAAGACCTGGAGCCTTGCTACGGTAAGCGGAGGTGGAGGTGGGGGAGATGTTTTCTAGATCAGCAAATTTTGCATGACACAGCTCAGGCTCATTCAGTAAGCATACCTCTCAAATGTCCATTATTAGGAGGAACTGTCCTTGTGAAGCCAAGATCCTCTGTCCCTCTTAAGCTGGATATACATATTAATTAATTTATTTATTTTGGTTGAGCTGTTCGGCTGAAAACAAACAAAAATAAAACGGATTTCCCCATCGACACAAGCAAGGTGCACAGAGGAATACCTTCTGCTGTGCTATTTCTTTCTGACAGCAGAGAATCCTCTGCTTTCAGAATACACTGATCAGCACTGCAGCTGATTGGCTGCAGCGGCTTATCAAATGTACATTTTCCAACTGTCCTGTTTTGACAGAAGTCGATTTATTGATCAAATTCTGTTGAACAGGGAGGGTCGCACGCAGGTCAAAATCCAACTGTTCCCTGCTAAACCAGCCGAATTTCAATCCATGTGTACCCACCTTTACCTGTTCAGTTGTCCCTGGTCTGATTATAGATCTCTGGAAGTGTTAAATGGGTGTAAAAAATGTGGCATACAGATGCACACAGCATACTATTTTGTATGCATATGTGAACTATGCAGCACTGTTGAGGTCTCTGGGCCCATTTAGACAGCTAAGCCTGGCAACCCAATGTGGTTCAGCGTTTAGCAGCTCAAAAAAAAAAAATAAGACACCGCTGCATATGGTGCTGTATTTTAACCTGTATGCAGATAAACAATTGTGCTAACATTTACATGTGTCCAGAATACATGTACCATATTGGTTGCTAGGACACAAGTGCCTCCTGCTGTCTAGTGTCCTTGGTTGCTAGGACACAAGCAGTTGCTGCTGCCTAGAGTTCTTGATTGTTAGGAAGCAAGGCAGCTATCTGCTGCCTCGTTTGTTGGTTTGTAGGATGCAGGTGACCCCTGCTGTGTAGTGTCCCTGGTCGCTAGGATGCAGCTTGCCCCTGCTGCCTACTGTTCTTGGTTGCTAGGACGCAGGTGGTCTCTGCTGTCTAGTGTCTAGTTGCTAGGACACAGGAGACTCCTGATCCCTAGTGTCTTTGGTTGCTAGATGCAGGCAACTGAGATTCAAGCAGCAGTGGCACATACCAAAATGATCTTAGCAGTCATTCATAAACTCATGAAAGACTGAAGGATGTTCTTTCTACACACGTGCCACTGCCACATGAATAAATCACGCAGGGCCAACACGTTAACTTCAGTAGTGTGTATTCAGTAGTGCTGATTACACCACTACATTTCTGCTGTTGCACAAAATGTTACATCTGTATGGGCAGCTTAAACACAGTTGGGTTGATTTACTAAAACCAGAGGTTGCGAAATCTGGTTCAACTGTGCATGATAGCCAATCAGCTTCTAACTGCAGCTTGTTCAGTTAAGCTTTGACAAAAAAGAAACAAACAACTGGAAGCTGATTGGTTTCTCTGAACTTCAGAACTGCACCAGATTTTGCACTCTCCAGTATTAGTAAATCAACCCTTATATCTTGTTGCAAGATCCTGTGTTTTACATTTGTACACTTAAATGAGCCCAAAAAATTTACTCATCGAATACCAAAAGTGTTATACTGCATTAAACTTTTATCAAGCCTCTAAATTATTATATTTCATATTTTGAAAAGCAAGTGCCAAGGAAACGCAGTTTAAAGTTTTTAAGCAATCATTTGATTTGTGCATTATAGTTTTGTGGTCTGCATAACTGGGGATGGGGCTCAGAGTGTCCTTAGTCTATATTCATTGTGCTAAATTGTGGTCTTTCTAATCTCAAAAAGTTGGAGGTATGAGTAGGTCAGGGTAAACGGTACTGGTGTGGTGTGAAATACAGTCACACACATCAATTTATATAATGCTTACCATACATTTAACTAAATGATTGATGACATACTGTAAGTTGTTTTGCCAGAAAGATCAGTAAACTTTACACTACAAGGTTAACTGGATATATAATGCCAGTTTACATTGGCTGCCAGAATTCATAACTGGATGAAGCATACATGCCATTGGATCTTGGAGACCTGATAGACCTGCGCAATGTTATTGTTTTTGGCCATATCACCATCTCAGTCATTGGTATGCTTTTTGATTCTCCAAGTCTGTCTTCCTCACAGCAAGTAAAAAGTATCACCTGGGAGAACTGTGATTCAGGAAAGCTTCCAGGCACAATCAAAAGTTTGTCCATTAGTCCCGATCCTGTATCCATTCCAGGAGAAGTGATCGTCTCCGTGGTACTGAACACTGAAGTCCCTCTAAGCTCTCCCCTCCAGGTGAGATATCATCCTCAACAATCCAGATTTATAAACCTGCATACCCAAACATACTGGAACCATTAGATGTAACTGCATTGCAGTGTATATGCTGATAGCCATTTCTACACAAAGCTCTCTGTAACAGTCATTGGGATTGCAATCCCACATTTTTTAATATGTAGTGTGTATTCTTAGATTCTCTTAGATAAAATTGTTTTGTAGTTTATTTTTTCTTTACTGTTATTCAAATGTGTATATCAAGCCAATAAATGTTTATCCCAGTTTTGAATAGAGTGGGGAAGAATTAGAACACGTGTTGGGTTTTTACTGCCAACTAGAGCTCCGTAAGAGAGTGTAGCGCCACCCAGGAAGGAGCTTGGTAGTTTTTGGGATTCTCTGTTGTGAGCCTCGACTCCAACAACCTCAGCCCCTGACACACTTGGTTGAATATAAAGACACAAGTATAAATACTTTTAACCTGATTGTGGGTTACTGCCAGAAAAGAGACACAGACCCATTTAGAGGTAAATGCACCCATTGATAGGAGTTCAGTATAAATAGCAGTAGAACATAAATGAGCACACAACGGGCAAATTTGAACACAGTATGTTAGACAGTAATATCTATATTAAAATTCCTGAGATCAAGTTCTATACCACTAACTGAAATTAATACTTGAATTAGCATTTCAGTTGTAAACAATGTAAATAAACGTTAAATGCAGTATGAGTGATACTGATAATACACTGGTTAAGAGTGCACTCTTGGCTGGGATATGGTGCAGAGTCTTTTACGAGGTACCTCTTTAACTCAGCAAGGGGCAAAAAGGTTTCTATGGGGGGCAGTCTGTAACAACTGTTAAGAGCCCTGACTCTTCAGCCGGCTAATTGTTGGGGCCCAGTAACATTTGGTGAGCTTTAAGGCAGTCAACAAGGCCTGCAGGCAGTGCTACAACTATAAAGCAGCTGGGTACGTAGTTCCTAATTGCTTAGTCTCTAGTGGTGGTAGCAAGTAGTGGCTACAAGGCCCTCTCACCATACCCAGTGACACGGCAGCAGTGGTCCCTCCAATCAGTTGTCAGCTCACTCTGGGTTGCCCCTAGTGACTCCAATAGGTAGCACATCAGATCTGTGTTCTGGTCCAGCTCTCTACACACACAGCAGTGAGTTTTCAAAGACACCATTGCAATCTCTCTCTTCTTAGCATGTTCCTCTTGCTCACTGTCTACCGGGGGGGACTGATAACTCATGGGGCCCCCAGGCAATAGGGGATCTTGGGGCCCCTGTGTCCTCGCCCACACCCCCAAAAAAGCCTATAAAAAGGTACCAGGGGCATCTCATGGGGCCCCCTACTGACCCCGGGCCCTCGGGCAGTGCCCGAGTGCTCAAATGGTCAGTCCGCCCCTGCTGTCTACACTACACTGAACTCTCTTGTAGAGTTTGGAATTGTGTCTCCAGTAGTTTGGCAGCCATTCATTTCCATTAGACAGCCTCCTTAGGGAACTACATGTCCCAGTCTCCCAAGCAGCTGCCGTATCCTCCCCCTGGTTCAGGTCCAAGGTTGCCAGGAGGAGACGGCCCTTCATGGATTCTTGCACTGGGGCCCTGAAGGTTCTAGTTACACCTCTGCCCACCCTCTAGTGCCAGGAAGAACAGAAGCATTGTCACATGACAGAACTTTTTAACCTTTTAAAAAAAAGATAATTTCTGAAACTAAGCAAAAGCAGCTTTAGTCCCTGCATAGTTAAAACTGTATCAGAAAGTTTCTATAACATTGTATGTTTACAACTACTTTAATATCATTGTTGTAATTCCTCACCTTTTTACAGATCTATGTCCTAATAATAACAAAACATTAAAAACCTGTGTTTGGTACCATTGCACAAGACCAGGGGCGGACTGATCATTCGAGCACTCAGGCTCTGCCCAAGGGCCCGGGGTCAGTAGGGGGCCCCATGAAATGCCCCTGGTACCTTTTTTATAGGCTTTTTTGAGTGTGGGCAGGGACAAAGGGGACCCATGATCCCCTATTGCCCGGGGGCCCCATGAGTTGTCAGTCCGCCCCTGCACAAGACCACACACAATGAACATAATGATGTACAGTATGTTCATTTCTATAATATATACAAGTTGGGTTGGCAGGCTGATAAAACAATCTATCATGGAGGTGCTCATGGTGATGACTGTTCGCTAGCCGTGAAAAGGCAAGACAATACCTGCGTGTTTGACATTTGTATTTTTTTCTCCTAAAAAACAGATCAAAATTACTGCAGAAAAGGAGCTGTTTGGCGATTGGCTGACTGCCCCCTGTATCGATAAATTTGGCAGCTGCACCTACACTGAAGTCTGCGATCTGCTGGATGCTTTCTTTAAGCCAGGACAGCAGTGCCCAGGACCCCTCCAGACTTATGGACTTCCCTGCCACTGTCCATTCAGAGCTGTGAGTAATTTCTGCTTAGTGATTCAGAAGCCTAACCCCACACGTTTAGTTTTGTTTAGAACACAGAAGGATTAGACCGTCTGTCATATTTTTTCCCCCTCACGTGCTGTCTCGGTAATAACTGGAAAAGAAATGAGGGGAGTGAGTTTCCCTGGCATAAGAAGACACAAACTGCAATAAAGGCCCAAAATACTTCAATTTTTTAGTTAGAAGAATATGTTTTTCTGTTTCAATCTTTTTATTGAGTTTTCAAATGGTAATAGAACAGTACAGGATTACCAAATGATGCATCAAAGTGAATTGTCTACATAGTCAAGATGTATATATTGGTGACAATAACAAGAGAACATCAAAAATGATGAGAAAGTAAGGGTTCAGTCAAGAACCCAGACATTATGCATATATGAGGAACAACATTAAAGTGGTCAACCACAAAGAAGTCCATGTAACACTGTATAGACCAGGGTTTCTCAACCAGGGTTCCGTGGAACCTTAGGGTTCCTCCAGAGGTTGCCAGGGGTTCCTTGAGCAATGAGTAATTTTTGCCTCCAGGTAAGTTCCCACTGACACCATTGATCTTTTTAGCTATCTGTAAGGGGGTACTTTTTCCCAATGACCAAAAGTGTAAGGTGCATTCTTACCTCTGACTATCACACTTATGTATCATGAATTGTAGATAAAGTCATTTTTAGCAGGGGTTCCCTGAGACCGGAAAGTTATGTCAAGGGTTCCTCTGCGGTGAAAATGTTAAGAAAGACTGATATAGACTATGTTCCAGAAGAAATGTTAACCAAAAAGAGACCTCGATACAGGTCAACAGTATCTACCCAGCAGGTAGGATGGGCAAGAATGCGGCCACCCATCCCACCGACTGGGTAGATGAAGACCGACATGGTGTGTAGTCGACCCTAGCCAATGCAAGAACCACTATAGTACTAAACGGCAGACTTGTATGTCTGACAGAAATTTCTCAAAAGAAGGAAGAAAAAAAAACAGTTTGGTCAGTTCAAATGTAACATCCTCATAGGGATGTATCACCTATACAGTCTAGACTAGAGTCTTTAACCATGAGCAAAGGTCCAAAAAGCAGATGAAAATTGCACCCAAATAATTATAAAAAAAACAATGCAAATGAGGAACAAGGAGAGAAGGAAAGCAGAGGAGGAAAAAGAAAAAAAAAAAGGGAGGAGAGTAAAAGAGTAAGAGTATGCCCTTCCGAGAAATTCAGATGGTGAGGGCAGAATTTGGCGTAAACAACATAAAAGCATGGATCCATCCTGCCTAGTATCAACGGTTCAGGCTGGTGGTGTAATGGCGTGGGGGATATTTTCCTGGCACTAGCAAAGTGTACCTAATAAAGTGGTCGGTGAGTGTATTTGTTCTATTTTATTCTATTCTATTCTACTATATTCTTTTATATTCTATTCTTTTCTTTTTATTTCTTATTGTATTCTATTCTTTTCCGCTCTATTTTTTTATTTTCTATTATAGTATTTTCTGTTCTATTTTATTTTATTCTATTCTTTTATATTCTATTTTACTTTTTTATTTTCTATTCTGTTCTATTCTATTTTTTTTTTTATTCCTTTATTCTCTATTCTAAGCTATTCTGTTTTATTCTATTCTCTTATAATAGTTTCTATTCTGTTCTTTTCTATTTTTTTTATATTCTTTTCTATTCTGTTTTATTCTATTTTTTTTTAAAGTAGCAATCATCATCTTATTTCACTTTTACACCTTACTGTATTTATTGCAATATATGCTTCCATTTCGAATTCAGATAATTTGTTTTTTTATAATTTATTTTGCATTCGTTCAAATTTGTTACTATTGTAATTTGGAAATTTTTATACATTTGAATCTCTGAATAAGGAAAATTTAATCCAAGTTTTGAAAATGTCTTATTCTGAAAATTCAGTAAAAGCTATTGAAAACAAGCCTGTACTCATCTCTGTAGCTAACGGCACTGTGGAGAAATTACTTTTCAAAGTTCACAACAGAGGCACTGAAAACTCTACTTTTTTTCTATGAGAGCAGATTTTGACAATCTGTCAGCAGTCTAAGTTAAAAAAATTGCAAAAAAAATTGTAGATTTATAAGTGTTAGAAACTGACTGAAACCCAACTTCAGTCTTGTTATTGTCTTTCAGGATCTTTTAAAGGGGAACTTCAACCCCCCCCATGTGTTTTTATGTTCTCACTGGAGTTATCCAAAATAAACATACCCATTAAAAGTCATTGGGAGCAACCTTTGTCCTCTGGGTTTTTGCAGCATGCCCCCTGGTGACACCCTCCTCCAGCTGCAGTGTAGAAGCTGATGCCCCATGGCATATCTGATGTAGATATCCCAAAAGGCTGTTGGAGCAGATGGCAGGGGCTAGAATTAGAAATTTAAAAAAAAGTAAACATACAAAAAAAGGTCAGCTTTTTAGATTGTGGTGGGCTGGAGGGTTGCAATGATGCAAAGTACTTTTTTTAAATTAAGGTTTGCGTTAAGAATGAATTACTTCACAGTACAAGTAGCTACATAGGTGAGTAAAGGATTGTTTTAAATCTCCTTTTTATTTAAGAATATGCAATGTCCATAGTCTGAGTGCAGGTGCATTCTAAAGAGTCAACTGAACTGTACAGTATCCAATTCTATTTCTTTGTTTTTCTATTCCAGGGTTCCTACAGTCTCCCCACCACCAGTTTTAAGATACCCAGCTTTTCTCTGCCATCATGGCTTGCCGAGGGCAACTACAGAGTTACTGGAATTCTCAGCCATAAGAATCAGGAAATTGGATGTGCCAAATTTACATTCTCTCTGGCCGAACCCTCCTCCTGGTGGTGGTAAGAAAGATGCCTAATTCACTGGAACAAAGAAGACATCTTACCACTTAGTTGATTAACCCTCATCTCATCTCTGACAATACAAGACTCTGCTCTAGACAGTCAGCCCTGTCCCTGCCTTTCTCAATAGTGCCTGCACATTAAACTGAGACTCATGAATCAGATTTCATATTCCTGTCTCAAGTGCAATTTCACGAAGTATGAAAATAGCTTGGAAAATCAATTAGAACTGTTGATTTTTTTTCTTCAAGCTCAGTTGCCTATGAATTATTTTGTAAGAGCACCCATCTATAGACTTACGGAAAAAAAATGTCTTTTCCTTTAAGTAGACCATCACAGCCACCCCCCAACATACACACTTATCGTTTTCTTTTCTCAACTTTCTTTTATAAAATCTGTTCTGCCAACAAAATAAAATGAACTACCTCCCTTGACTCTCCCTTACATGCTTTAGTAGACCCCATGGTCCTGCCCCCTCGACACCACGGAAGCCATCATATTGCTTTCCCACGTCATTATGGTTGGCTTTTTCCTGTTTCTTTGGCCAGCCCAACGAATCTGTCAACATGTAATTATTTACAGATTGCCATATTTACCTCCTCTGAAGCTCCAATAGCTGTAAGCAGCAGGACGGTGCTCTCTGTGCGCTTAGTCATTCAAAAATCCTGTCTGTCCAATTGATGTGTCATGCATGCTTGAAGGCATAAAACAGATTTATAAATGAATTATCAAAATCTAGCAAAACATCTTTAATTTGTTCATAAAATGGTATCTGTCTCCTGCACACAAAAGAAAAAAAGTCTATGAAGGAGTAAGCGACATCTTGCATTTTAGCTCCAAGAGCTGCCTGGAAGGAACTGGTGACGGAGCCTTACCAGAAGACAGCTGGGAGGCACAGGCAATGACACCAGGAGCTATGGAGAGGAGTAGATATCTTTGAAGTAAGAGTTATTTGCTGCTAAATGCAGTGTTTCAGAGGAACATTGTGATGTTTTGCAAAATGTGTCTGAACGATTTCGTACAGTAGGCTTTTTTTTTTTTTTTTGGGTAAAAGGTCCACTTTAATAGACACCATATCATTCTCACACCATAGCTTTAAAGCAATATTAAACCCATAAACAAACATTTAATATATACTTACCAATTCCTAGATGTCACTCGTTGTTTACGGCTTTCTTTCTTTTATTTTCACCTGCTGATCTGGCTAATAAGTCTGTTGTTTTTCAACAGAACAAGCTGTCTTGCAAATGTATCAGTTAAGAGTGTTGAAATAAACCATTTACCACTGACAGGGGTGCTTACAGCGATCAGCTTTTATTCATTCATGTAAAACCTTCATCCCAAAAGAAAAAACCTGTTGCTGTAACTTTCTGTGTAACTGCAATGTAAACTAAAGTTTGGCTTCAGTTTGCTGGGGTATCTAAATCTGCTAGTACATCTAACACTCCCCTCTCCAGGCTGATAATGCTGCAGTCCAAAGGTGTCCCTGTGCTCCTTTACCCAGATTGGGGACGCTCAAATACTGGAGATGTGTTACTGGCCAGATAGCAATAGGTGAAGAGGGAAAAAAGTCTAAAAAAGAAATCGAATGCAGCAACCACATCTAATGTTTGGTAAGCTGCAATAGATAAAATTTTTGATTTGGGATTTAATACTACTTTAACTTACTCTACTCTATATATATTACTATATGGATTGTTATAGAACAATCTTCAGAGAAAACCATCTATTCTTTCTTGGTTTTGCATATTCCATTTCTTTCCATGTTGTGGGTGTCTTGACATGCTCTTATGTAACAATTAAAATAATGATAATATTTTTGGCCTATTTAATAAAAAGGACTTTGCAGTGATGTGTTATAACCCTTAGCAACCAATCAGAACTGCTGATCTATAGCAGGTGGATTACTTCACACAATTTTTCCACCATTGCATTAAAGTTATTTGAGTTTAGAAAACGTTTCAGTTGCCAATCTTACTATTACCTAAAGTATGTATCTCTTTACAGAAATGCTCCTGCTTATAATCAATCCCCAATCAGAAAAAATAAAGTTATTTCAACTTTAAATCTGTTTCTTTGACATGTTCTATTTTTAAACACTTACATGTAAGGCGTATTCACACTTCTGTGTTGGGGCAATGCACAGTAAATTGGGGTTCCTGCAACACACAACTCACCTGCTCTTTCTGTGGTGCATTGCGTTACCATTAATGCATGCAGACTTGGCACCATCCATAGGTAGGTTAACTCTCCTATAAGACACAGAATTTTTTTCCAGCACAATTTTACATTAGATAAGTGCAAAACAGAGGATGTTTTCCTAGTCTTTAAGTGTTCAAAAATTATGAATTTCTTAAGTCTAATACTGACTGAGGAAACATGGAAGAAACAGGGATCTACGATTAAATTAACTAGCACTAACCAGGATTGGGAGGACAGAGGAAGATACCAAATAATGTAGGTAAACAAGTTGTAGTGACCCTAACCCACCAGTAGGTGTCAGCATGCATCAGAATAATAATCTGATACAGTTAAATACAAGGACAACAGAAAAAATGCATTTAGGCAGAGCAGAACATAAAGCGTGTTAACACCTAATGAGGGTTAATGCACTTGTTCACAGCAACGGGCTGCTAAAGTGTAAATGGTTACTCCTCATCCCAGGAGTCCCCTCTCTCAAGATATGATGTGGTCTGGGGGTGTGTTGTGAGAAAGAATGTCTTCTAATGGAGTGAGGTCAGGCACTGGATAGACTTCTGTCTTAAATCTGCAGAAGAAGGCTTTAAGTTGAAATTGGGTATGCCATTCTTGGCTGTGAACAGGGGCGGACTGACAACTCATGGGGCCCCCGGGCAATAGAGGATCATGGGGCCCCTGTGTCCTTGCCCAAACTCAAAAAAAAGCCTATGAAAAAGGTACCAGGGGCATCTCATGGGGCCCCCTGCTGACCCCGGGCCCTCGGGCAGTGCCCGAGTTTCCAAATGGTCAGTCCACCCCTGGCTGTGAATCAAGGTGAAGGGAAGTGAAGTTGGGCCCAGGAAATGGTGTAGTCAGGATAGAAATGGTGAAGTTGGGGGCTAAGTTTTCCAGGATAGGAATGGCAATGTATTTGTCTGAAGTCCAGGGCCAAAAGAGAGGTTGTCAAGAATGGGGGCTGGTTGATGCAAAAGCCTGTGTGAAATGACAAATCTGTCCCAAAGGAAGACAAGGTATTGAGTCAGGTAGGGAAGAGAAGGCAGGATGGTCTGTGGGAAAGTTCAAAGAAGAAAGAACTTGTTCCAGATGGACCACCCTCTTGTCCAAACTGTGGAGAAACCAATCAGATTATCTAGTCAGTGTGGCTTTTTTAGTAGAATTCAAAGCCTGGAAGGTAGAGACCACTAGGGTTAGTGAAAGCCATCATTTTCAGACGTGGGTGACAAGATCCACAAATAAATATGAGGATCCATGTCTGTAGCTGGGTAAAGAAACTTTTGGATGGAATTATGGGAATCGTGTTGAAAGTGTAGGGTACCTATTTTCAATGTATTAATGTGACCAAACCATGAGACACGTGAAGGTCCCAAAATTGTTTTTTTTTTTTATTCTTCTGCAAGCTATTTTGAAACATATAGAATTAATAAATATCAGGAACCAGTTTACCATCTTTTTGTCCATGGAAAATCTGGATCTTAGTAATAGTCATCTGCTGGAGATGACTGCTGACCCAATCCCACTGCATTTTCAGTTTTCAGCACTGCAATTCTAGCCTAAAATCCTCATCTGCATATTCCATATTGAAGTAACCACTAGCTAGTATAAGGTCTGTGAATAACAGCGGCAAACAATGGATTCAGACCCGTCTAGGAAAGTAGTAGACGAGTATCCCATGCTTTTTGAAAATGTGCTTGAGTTTTTTTCAACTATAAAGAAAATGTAAATTTATGTGCTATTTTAAAATATCTAAAGATCAAACCTACTTGTTTCTCATTTTGAAAAGAATAGGAGAGTTATCTCGCTTGACAGTTTTTTTTTGGCATCTGTGTCCTATTAGAGAGAGTTTCTGTCATTTCCCACTTGTAGACTCAGGAAAAAGTGATATCTTTCCAATGTAAGAGAGAGCTTTGCAGCTGCTGAGGTCATCTGGGGCAACAAGAGAGAGTGCTACGTATGTGCAGGGGTCAAACGTATGGAGCTTATTCCTGTACCAGTAGCAGGTGGTGCATAACTGAAGCTCAAGGGACACATCTCATTGATGGTAACCAATGTTCCTTGTTAGCTTTATTATAAAATAAAATAGTAAAATAGAGATAATATATAAAAAAAATAAAAACAACAATACACAAAGATACAATGCATGCACCAAAAAAGAAAATACTAAGGGCTTTTTCACACAGAGCCCTTCCACTCTGTTCAGCAGAAATCGAGCTGTGCAAAAAAGACGTCAGTTTATTTTGCAGTGGGACCTGTTTATTTTGTGTCCATTGGACACGAGTGATATCTCTATGGACGTCTGGATGTAAATGGATTTGTGATTATCACATTTAGGCTTGGAAAACTGAAAAAAGACGCAGTCCTTTTCCATTTTTTTCTTTTCAAAAATTGATCGACAATACGAATTGCTGGAGTTGCCTAATATAAATCAAAGATGAAATTCAGGAGAAAAAGTGGGATCACCACATGGTCCTAGCCTTGGCCCACCACAAGCAGCAATGGCTCAAGAGGAGAATGCAATCTCTATATGAGCCAAACACAGTAAAATATCTGATAGAAAATAACCAATGAAGATCCAAAATGAATTAATCCCAATATGCAGCTAATTACAATGCTAAGGCAGCTGGGTCCTCTGAGAGACAGGGAAAGAGCCCCCCATCTGCATCCTCCACTCTTGTTCACCCCCGGACAAAAGTCCAGACCTGGCAGGCCTGCCAAGACCTCAGCCCGCATCGCTTCCGCGTGTGCAAAGGAAGGGCCGGCGTGACTTCCAGCCTGTCCCGCGTCAACTCCAGAAGCGCTGGATCACAAAACAGGGCCAAGAAAGGTGAGGCAATAGTGCCAACACATTATAGAGCCAGCCTATATCTTACTAAGGTGTAAAACTCCCTCCGTGACCCAAAATGGAATGGAGCTCAACATAGGAAGGGTAAAGGATGGCAAAAAATCAGCCCCCGCATCCAAGGATGCAATTCTGTGGTGCGGGGGCTGGGTGTGCGGGGCATACATCATAACCTGCCTCAGGAATCCTTAGAGGGACACACATGCACATGCAAAAGAGGAGTCAAGTAGTTCATCCAAGTCCATTTTTTTCAATGAGATCAATGGTGTTATTTTCTTCCTATGATAAAGAAAGATCTCCTAAAGCTCTACACTCTTGTAGAGTTAGCTTACTGGAGTGAGTATCATTCATTGATAATTTAAGAAGAATTTGTCACGCAAAAAAGCTGTATATCCTTGATGATAGCAAATCTATGTAACTTGGGGCGAAAGCCCAGGCCCAGTAATAAGACCTCCACTGCAGTAGGCGATAGAGCATTGGAGGAGAAATGCTAAAAGTCCTATTCCATATTTGTACACAATAGTTATTGGTTTGTATAGGTTACCCTGTTTAATATACAGGCTCTACATATGGGATATCCTAATCTCTTGGACTGTTTAGTGTCTGTTCCCCCCTATTGTGTGGTGTGGCTTTGGGTCCTCTGTTTTGCATTCCAGTTTTGCACCGCAACACACCACCAACACCCGATCAACTAGCCATTTTGATGTTATATGTAAGTATGTATAAGTGTTTCAGTGGCACCATTAGATGCTTTATGACGTTTAATCACATATATACAAGCACTTTTAATATTTTTTCCTATCGACAGCACTCCTGAAGAAGCTTTGGGACAGATCCTCTGTCAGGGCTCCAGGGTATGACCACAGGTATGTGAACTGACGCAGGGAAACGCAGGCTTCAGATAAGTTATAAACAATATAATTTATTAAAGACTAACAATACAAACATAAACGCAGTGCAATACTAAAACATAACACAGTGCAAACGAACCAAACCAAACCACCCACAGATAACAGTACATACAATGCAAGCGTCGTCAGGCAGGCCGGGTCAATAACAATCGGGCAGGTAGGTACAGGGGGTCAGGCAGAGAATGGTCGGGGTCACAAGCCAGGGATAAAACAGGAGAAGTCAGCAGAGGTCCGGATCAGGCAGGGTCAGCAACGAATCAGACAGAGACAGGAACAGGAACAGGAATGCAGGAACAAGATACAGGGCCCAGGAAAAACACACACCAAGGCAGAGACTGCAGGTCTGGCCATCCCTTAAATACACCTGCATAATCAACTTCAGGTGTTTGGCTGGCTGCAGGGCTGAGTCTCTGATTGCTGGGAGCACCCGCTGGCCAGCCCTGGTACTGCAGCCCACAAGGCAGGTGAGTCCCACCATTACTGGCAAGTCCATTCCTGACATCCTCCAACCCTAATCGGCACAATACTCTACTAATATACCTGGACTCATACCAAGTTTATTACTGTTGTTATAAGTGCTACCCCTGTGGGATCCTATATAAGATGGGGGTGTGGGGATGTATGCGAGCTGTTTACTATGTCTTCAATGACAAAACACTAAGGGGGATATATTAAAACTGGAGCACGGAGAATCTGTTGCAGCTCCTCATAGTAACCAATTAGCTTCTAGGTTTTATTATCAAAACTTAATTGAACAAGCAAAAGTTATAAGCTGATTGGTTGATTGTCACAGATGTACCCCCCCCCCCCCCCCCCAGCTTATTCATGTGGTGTGATTTTATAAGTTTTTAATGTTTGTACACAAAAAACTAATCTATTAGATAATAGGTGATTTCTTCCCTAGAAGTTTAGCAACTAAATGTCCAAGGCGGTAGAGCTTAACTTCTTCCTGACCGCGCTATAGCCGAAAGACGGCTACATCGTGGTTGGCTAGTTCTGGGAGGGCGTCCATGGACGTGCGCAATCTTTGATCACTGTGTCCTTTGGACAGAACTGATCACGTATCCAAGCATTGGGCCAATCAGAGCCACCTTTTACATGTGACCAGCTGTGTCCAATCACAGATGATCACATGTAAACAGGAAATGCCGGTTATCGGTAGTCCTCTCCTCACTCTGACAGCACGTGAGGAGACAAGAGCTGGTAAGGGGCATTTCTTAGGAGGACATCTATACTGATCATTAGGGCACTGATCATCAGTGTCCTGATGATCAGTGTAGCCCCATCAGTGCGACCAATAGTGCCCAACTGTTCTGGCTATCAGTGTCCATCTGTGCTGGCTATCAGTGCCTCCTCAGTGATGCCTGTCAGTGGCCATCAGTACTGCCTATCAATGCCCATCAGTGCCTCCTCATCAGTGCCCATCAATGCCGCCTACCATTGACCATCAGTGCTGCATATCAGTGCAGCCTCATCAGTGCCCATCAGCGCAGCCTATCAGGACCCATCAGTGCAGTGTAACAGTGCCCATCAGTGCTGCATATCAGTGCAGCCTCATCAGTGCCCATCAGCGCAGCCTATCAGGACTCATCAGTGCAGCGTAACAGTGCCCATCAGTGCAGCCTCATCAGTGCCCATCAGCGCAACCTATCAGGACCCATCAGTGCAGTGTAACAGTGCCCATCAGTGCAGCCTCATCAGTGCCCATCAGCGCAACCTATCAGGACCCATCAGTGCAGTGTAACAGTGCCCATCAGTGCAGCCTCATCAGAGCCCATCAGCGCAACCTATCAGGACCCATCAGTGCAGTGTAACAATGCCCATCAGTGCACATCAGTGAAGGAGAAAAATCATTTATTTCCAAAACGTTTTAACAGAAACTAAGAAAAACTTTTTTTTTTTTAATTTTTGATCTTTTTTTGTTTGTTTAGCAAAAAATATAAACACCCAGGGGTAATTAAATACCACCAAAAGAAAGCTCTATTGGTGTCAAAAGAATGATAAAAATGTCATATGGGTACAGTGTTGCATGACCACGCAATTGTCATTCAAAGTGTGACAGCGCTGAAAGCTGTAAATTGGCCTGGGCAGGAAGGGGGTATAAGTGCCCGGTAGGCAAGCTGTTAATTTGATTCTTGGACATTAGCATGTGCTTGTGTTATTTTCATCTTTCACCAGCAGATGACAGCAGCACACCTCCTCCATGTATATTCACACCCACAATCCTCCTTGGTGCACAATGACACACAACAACACAGCCTGCTGAGCGGTAGTCATGTGATTGCCTGTCTGCCTGAAGGGGAGGAGGAATCATCTGAGAGCAGAAAGTGCAGCAACATATGATTTCCTGCTTCTGGCATTCTCTATATATGTTGCTGTGAGGACCGGCAGCAGCACCTGATTAATGCACATTTGGAACCAGCAGCAGATGCAGCAAGGCTCCCTATAAACGCATCTTCATCCTTTCTGCAGAGCCAACAACAAGCAACCATCACCCATGGGGCAGGTGCATTATTATTTCCTCTTTGCCTGTGTTGCTGTAGGGTACTTCAGTATGGTGAGCGCTACGGGCTTCGTCATCAACCGGACACCCCTGAGGGTCACAGCGGTAAGTACCACACCAATAAATGCTCATTAATAGGTATGGAAACACACAGTAATGCATAGCAAGCAATGTCATCCTTCACAGCGTTCAATCAGCTGATTGCCTGCAGTGGCAGGGGGCTCTTTGAACATCATAATTGCACTTTGTACTGCTTTAGGCCAGCCATACATGGGTCAAAAATCGGCTGATTTTTTTTGTCCTAAGAATAGTCAGCTAATTTTAGTGGTGTTAGTGGTTCAATGGCACCGGCTGATTTTCGTGGTTCCTCCCCTTTTCAGTGATCGGGCATGTTGGAAAATTTGTGAAAAACAACCGATTTTTGACTCGATGGTCAAATCATACATTCGTTTTTCCGAAAAGAATATGCGCATGAGTCGTGACCTGGAAGGAACAGAAGTTTTGCCTGTTATATGGGGTGAACTTTATGACTTGGTCGGCCAATTTTCGAAATCAATGATGGTACCATCGGATTACCGAACGACGTTTCCGATTTTCGGACAAAAAATCATTCGGAATTCGAACCATGTATGGCCTGCATAAGTCTAGGTTCACATCTATGCGTTTTCCGCTGCGATTTGCAGAAACGCAGTACAGCCCATTTAACATGACTTCCTATGGGACAGGTTCACACCTCGGTGCATTTTTTGGAAAGGGTCAGGGACTTTTTTTTTAAATGCAAAACATTGCGTTTTTGGTTCTATAGACTTCAATGAAGATGCTGCAGAAAAGCATGTAGTGTGTTTTTGATGCGTTTTGCTTATGAATCTGCCCAGCAACAAGTTGGGGGGGATAAAAAAAGCAAAACACGTAAAAAAAAACATACAAAACGCACCGCAAAAATCACTGCAGAAACGGATCAAACGCAAACTGCATAAGTGTGATCCTAGCCGTAATCAGTTTTGTATACCTCACGTTATGCAGTGATAGATATATATACATCCATGTACTTTAATGATTGGAGATTAATATACGACAGCAACACAACATTAAATAATCCAATGTAAACTGCCCGTTGCTGTGACAATGGTAACCTTGCAGCACAGAACTAGGAATGGGTAGTTGTGTGTGTTCCTAGGGTTTAAACTGGCCATACACGTATAGATTTTCATTCACGAATTTTCATTTGATTTTCTAATCATTAGTGGGGTCAAATTGATGTTTGTTTGCGACCGCAGTGATGGGAAAATTCAGAAGTGGAAGAAAGCAAAACTTTCCTCGATCAAAGAGTTTTCGGCCGGTGTATGCGATGATCGTTCAGAAATTACATTCATTTTAAAGTAGAATGTTAAAAGCAAAAGACAATTTTTGGACGTCATTCGTCCATTCACCGAATGTTCAAAAGCATTTCTGTACGACTTTTCGTACAAATACTGTTGACGGAAAATCGACACGTGTATGGCCAGCTTTAGACATGCTTTCAATTAGAAAATGATTCGTAAGAGTTCTGGCCTTGTTATCTGACGCATATCAGCACAGCTAAACTTGGCCTGGGTGTCAACTCTGGTCATGAAAGGGTTAAAGCATTTTGTTTAATGTGGTAATTATTTTGGCTAGGTTCACACCGCGCCAGTTTCCTGGGGCACAGCAACTTATTCATTTAAATCAGCAACTATACCTATGGAAAACGCAGAGAAAAAGTCCCTTCGTCTTTTCCATATTTGCAGCTGCAGGGAAAACGCGTAATGTTATGCAGTTTGTAGCATGGGAAATGCACAGCTGTTTCCAGAGTATGGAGGTGTCATTAAGGATTCATGGCACCCCCACACGTTTGGTAACAGCAGCACGTTTTTGGTGAGGGACAGCGAAGAATTGCATGCAGTCCTGTACCCACATATAGTAAACCTAGCATTAAGGGCTCATGTACACGGGGCGCTTGGAAAACTCTACTGACCGCTGGAAACTGACTGCTGGAAAACGTAGGTTAAAAAACATCTGTTTAGCAGCGTTTTCATACCGTGTTTATGCGAGTTTGCATTTAGAAGCTTTTTTTAAAAGATAACCTCAGGAGACCTTCCCAAATGCACAGAATGCACTGAAAAATAGGAAATTATTAACGATTTCAGACATTATGAGAGAAATAGATAGAGCAGAAGCAGAGAGAGCAGTATGTGTTGCAATTCTCTATCTTTTTCTGGTTGTATTCACTATGGATCCCATGATGAGTATAATGCGGCACGTTCTACCATTGTTTCCTTCACACAAAACCTGGAACTGACTGCACTGGTGTACCAGGTCCATTTGAATACATGGGAAACTCTTTGCATGCATTTTTGATGAAGAAAAAAGGCTCTGGACAGCATCTGGATATGGATCTGTCAATAAACGCATCTAAACGCAAACGCTTGTAAACGCAGCTAACCGCGTTTACATGCATTTACAAGTGTTTGGCGTTTGAAACGCCGGTAAAATCTACTCCTGAATGCAATTTTGGTGCGTTCAAAAAACGACTGTAAACTTAACTGCCTGTAAACTACTATATGTACATGGACACATAGGAAAACATTAGGGAGAGTTCAGGGGCTACTGAAAAAAAACGCAGAAAAGCTCCTAAACATCAGTATAGCAGCTGCAGTGTACATGAACCCTAAGACCAGCGGAGGCTGTGCCAATGTTGCTCCTGGTAGACGTTAGTTTACTCTTGCAATTTCCAGTCATCACTTCCTTCCTGGTCGGGGACAGCTATCTCTACATCACCTAAAGCTGAAGTGTAATGTACAAATGTATAATACCTTCCCTTATGGGACTTGTAGTTTGGCAACAGCTGAAGGGCCGCCAGTTTGACACCCGTGCTCTATAGGGTACTTATTAATTTCACGGGGAGTCTGCTTGCTACATCCTGTGTTCCTGCTCATGTGTGCTCCATCTCACTTGCCAGCCACTGGAGCTTGAAATTGCTAAACACTCCACTGGACAACAATTAGTCCTCATGCACACAGGACATTAAAAATCTCCTAGAAGCCTTCCTCCTGCCAGCAGCGTTTTTTGCAAAAAAACAAAACATCTGACACTGATACAAAAGTATCTAATACTTTTACAAGCGGTTAGGCGTGTTTACAGGAGTCAAGCACTTGGCCGTTAATGCATTTCATTGGCCAGAATAATAATTTATTCTGGCCATTGAAATGAATTAGTTACTAAACCCCGGACCCTGCATTCACTATATCCGGTCTCCCCGGACCCTGCATTCACTATATCCGGTCTCCCCGGACCCTGCATTCACTATATCCGGTCTCCCCGGACCCTGCCTTCACTATATCCGGTCTCCCCGGACCCTGCCTTCACTATATCCGGTCTCCCCGGACCCTGCCTTCACTATATCCGGTCTCCCCGGACCCTGCATTTCACTATATCCGGTCTCCCCGGACCCTGCATTCACTATATCCGCTCTCCCCGGACCCTGCATTCACTATATCCGCTCTCCCCGGACCCTGCATTCACTATATCCGCTCTCCCCGGACCCTGCATTCACTATATCCGCTCTCCCCGGACCCTGCATTCACTATATCCGGTCTCCCCGGACCCTGCATTCACTATATCCGGTCTCCCCGGACCCTGCATTCACTATATCCGGTCTCCCCGGACCCTGCATTCACTATATCCGGTCTCCCCGGACCCTGCATTCACTATATCCGCTCTCCCCGGACCCTGCATTCACTATATCCGCTCTCCCCGGACCCTGCATTCACTATATCCGCTCTCCCAGGACCCTGCATTCACTATATCTGGTCTCCCAGGACCCTGCATTCACTATATCTGGTCTCCCACAGTACACAGAGCATGAAAATTAAAATTATTTTAGTAAATATAAACTGCTAAATACCTTTTCTCATCAGCAGTTAGAGCAGTCTTGTGACTTCAGCAGTGCACTGGTTAAAGCTTGTAGGAGAAGTTTTCATTCTCCTGTTGGAAGATGCAGAACCCCTGACCTCTGTCTGGACAGTGCTGATTGGCCCTGTGCTGATCACATGCACTCTCCCCGCCAAAAAAAAACAAACTCCCTAGCAATACACAGCAAACTGAGCATGTGCAGCTTGCCCCCAAGCCTCTGTTCCTTAGCAGTTAGGGCAGTCCTGTGACTTCTATCAGTGTCCAGCAGAGCATTGGTAAAAGCTTGTAGGAGGTGTTTTTATTCCTCCCTGATTGCTGTAGGACCCCTGACCCTCTGTTTGGACAGCCCTTATTGGCCTGTGCTGATCACATGCACTCTCCCAAGAAGAAAAAAACTATTTTACACACTAAACTCAGCATGTGCAGTTTGCCCCCTATGTTCTATCAGCAGATGGATTGGGGACAGTAGAAGGGGAGGATCAGAGAAGACAGGATCAAACAGCATTTACAGAATGCAGAGGATTAACCCCTTAGGTTCCACAGTGAGTATAACAAGCATGCTTTACTGCATATACAGACTGATTTTACTGTTGTGGGTTTAGTAACACTTTAATGCTCTTAATGCCTAGTGTTAATATGCCTTTAGGCGACTTTATATGCGTCAAGCAGTTTTTCTGCCAAAAGCACTAGTGCTCCTGGACACACTGGCCCAGGGTTTTTTTCCTGACTGTAAATGCCCCTAAAAGTCCACGTGTGCATAGACAGATAGGATAACATGGAGGGCTGTTTACAAGCAGTAAAAAAAACCCAAACGCCTGACGCCCCTAAAAGTGGCTTCAAAAACGCCCTGTGTGCATGAGAACTTACTTTCATCAGCAGCCTTTGCCACTTAGGCTTTATAGGGGGAATAACTAGCTCTTATGCAGGCCACAGACGGGTCGAAAATCGGCCATAAAAAAAAAAAAAAAAAAAAAAATCGGTCGTTCAATCGGCCGATGTTAAAACCAACGGTAAAAAAATTGGCCGATTTTCGTCCCATCTACGGCCGGCATTTTTACTTCTGTCCCTTGCAGAGAGCTCCGCTATTATATTTTACATGAAAAAGTTTTGCGGTTGCAACAATGTATCCATTTGTATCCATTTCGGATAGATTTGGTTTTATTCGGATACAAATAGATACATTGTTGCAACCGCAAGACTTTTCATATGGGTGGCACAGTGGCTTAGTGGTTAGCACATCTGTCTTGCAGTAAATGGGTCATGGGTTCAATTCCCAACCATGGCTCCTCCTGCATGGAGTTTGCATGTTCTCCCTGTGCTTGCGTGGGTTTCCTCTGGGTACTCCAGTTTCCTCCCACACTCCAAAGACATGCTGGTAGGTTAATTGGATCCTGTCTAAATTGGCCCTAATATGTGTATGTATGAATGTAAGTTAGGGACCTTAGATTGTACGCCCCTTGATGGTTAGGGACTGATGTGAATGTACAATATATATGTAAAGCGCTGTGTAAATTGACGGCGCTATATAAGTACCTGAAATAAATAAATATAAAATATAGTAGTGGACTGGAATTCTTCTTCCTCTTCTTCTTCCTTTTTCTTCCTCTTTTTCTTTTTCCTCTTCTTTTTCCTCTTTTTCTTCTTTTCTTCTTTTTCTTTTGCTTCTTTTTCTTTTAGGTCACGGCTCATGCTCAGTTTTTTTATTGGTAAAACGATTGGCCAATTTGCCCATCATTGCCGGGAAAATTGGCTTATCGTCAAAATCGGCCATGAATTTTCCAACTTTACTGATTAAAAAAAAATGTGCCAAAACCCCGAAAAACAGCCACCCAATTAACCCACTAACTGTGTGAAAATCGGCAGTTTTCTTCTTTTTTTTTTTTGGTCGAAAAATCGGCCGGTTTTTGACCCGTCTATGGCCTGCATAAGTCCTCATGCACACTTGATGTTTTACAGCGGCTGTTTTTGGCGTTTGACGTTTTTTTCTACAGCCAGTAAAGTCCCCAGCATGTTCTCCTATGTGTTCATGCACACATAGACTGTAATCAACGTTTTTTGACTGGGACATTTTTTGGCAGGAAAAACCCCCAAAAATAGTGGGTTTCTAGTGGAGTTTTTTTAGCTGTAAAAACGCTGTAACGCTGTAAAACGTCGCAAACTGGCGTTTGTGGACTTTTTTGACCAAAAAAAAATTGGGGGGGTAAAAAAAAAACAGCTAAAAACGCAAAAGTGGGAAACTGCCGCTAAATGCTAATGCAAAAACACTAAAAAAAAAGCTGAAAAACTCACATTTTTAACGTGACTTTACACAGCTAGCGTTACCAGCGTTATCAAAACGTCCCATGTGCATGAGGGCAAAGTCTGATACTGCACACTGAATTGGCAAATTTGCATTGCAAGCCACCAAACAGTTCTTGACTGGCACGTTATTAGGCTAGGTTCACATCTGTGCGGGTGGTGCCGCTGTGGATCCGCACCAAAATCCGTGCACCCGCACAGAGAAATGCCGACCTGCGGTGGGTGCCATTAGTTCTAACGAGGGCACGCCACCCGCACTGGAAAATGCAACCGTACTGTTATCCGAGGTTCCCGTGTGGGCTGTGTTTTAGGAAGAGGTGCAGGGACTTCTTCCCTGCGTGTCACGGGCACAGGAGTCCATTCAAATGAATGGGCTCTCGTGCCCGTGCAAAATGTGTCCCGCACGGCCGCATATATGTGAACCGGGGCTAACAGAGACCTCGCTGCTGGACATAAGAACTGAGGATCAAAAAGATGCAGGTAGAGTTTTTTCCATTCATTACATTGCACCCTTGCCTTTCTAAAAATAAAGACTTGTTTGCAAAGTCGTTGCATGCAGTATGGGCTCATCCATACATGTCAGTTGAGCTGCCTTGATCTGCTATCAGTCGTTTTCTATGTGCTCTGTTAATGCCATATATATGCATTGATGTGACCTGCGTAAAAATGCATTATATCTGCATTTTGCGCAGTGCAGCTGCAGCGCATGAAAACATGCTTTCAAGCACACGTTGAATTCAATGTCAGGTTTGCCATTGATATAAAGTTAAAAGAAAAAACTAAACAAAAAAAAAAAACTGTAAACAGTGCATTTTGTTTTAACAATGCAAAGTAGTTGCCCTGCACAATGGACACCAGCCTGAACTAATTTTGGCCCTAAACATGTATAGTAATATTGATTTTACATTATCTCTTAGATTGTAAGCTCCAGGGATCAGGGCCCTCCTATCCCTCTTGTATTGAACTGTATTGTTGCTGTACTGTCTCCCTTTATATTGTAAAGCGCTGAGCAAACTATTGGCGCTATATAAATCCTGTATAATAATAATTATAACATATAAATCCTGTATAATAATAATAATCACTAGTTGTGTTTCAGATGCATGTTATGTGTCTTGTATTTCATCTTTCTGTTTCTCTTGTGTTTAGGTGAATGGCTTCTCCTGGGCTAACTGCGATAGTGAAGGTCTGCCTGGGAAAATACATACTCTCACTGTTCTCCCCGACCCGCTGTCCATCCCTGGAGAGATCACAGTATCTACTATCCTGAATACTACGGTTGAGCTGAACTCCCCCGTCACAGTATGTACTCTGTACACTATTAGCATGAAAGGTTTTAAAAAAGACTTTATTTAGGGGGCTTTCATATGTATACCTGCCATGGGCAGCACACTGGCTAAATGGTTAGCACTTCTGCCTAGCAGTACTGGGGTTGTTGGTTCGAATCTCAACCATGGCACCACCTGCCTGGAGTTTGCATGTTTTCCCTGTGCCTGCTTGGGTTTCTTCTGGTATCCTCCCACACGCCAAAGACATGCTGGAAGGTTAATTGGATCTTGTTTAAATTGTCCCTAGTATGTGTATGTATGAATGTAAGTTAGGGACCTTAGACTGTACGCCCCTTGAGGGTTAGGGACTGATGGGAATGTACAATATATATGTAGAGCACTGATAGCTTTACAGGCTCCAGCAGCAAAATATAATAAATGCAAATTTGTTTCCTGCACAAATATGTGCATTTATAATTTTTTCTGTAAAGGTGAACCTATCCTAAGTAGTTTTAATCCCTACCATGGCACCACCTGCCTGGAGTTTGCATGTTCTCCCTGTGCCTGCATGGGTTTCCTCCGGGTACTCCGGTATCCTCCCACACTCCAAAGACATGCTGGTAGGTAAACTGGCTCCTGTCTAAATTGTTCCCTGCATGTGTATGTATGAATGTGAGTTAGGGACCTTAGATTGTCCACCCCTTGAGGGTTAGGGACTGATGTGAATGTACAATATATATATATGAGTAAATTGACTGCACTATATAAGTACCTGAAATAAATAAATAATAAAGGATTTGTGTTCTTTCCATTCTGGCACTGATATCTATACAGCTCCGCCACCCAGTACAGTCCTGTCTTGCAGGACTGCTTTTGCTGCAGTTCAATAACACATGCTGGTCTACTCCCCTCCCCCACCCTTTGGCTGAACAGTGAAGGAAGAAGCAGTCCAACTGAGCTCATCCCTCTGTCTGTCTGCTCTGTCCTCATTTTAGCATGCGTCTTGCACTGCGGCACAATTAATTGGTTCCTCATGCTGCTTCCCTCCAGTCTAAGCTCTGCTTTACAGTGGACTGCAGGAGGCTGATTCCAAGTCAAATTCAGGTACTTGTGCTATATAAACAAATACATTTAATGATGTATTAAAGTGGCACTAAAGGTAAAAATGTTTTTTTGCTAAGCACTTGCCCTCCAGAGCATTCCCCCCCCCCCTCCTGACCAGGCCATTTTTGCTATACGGCACTGCGTTACTTTAACTGATAATTGCGCGGTCATGCAACGCTATACATAAATGAAATATAGGTCATTATTTTCCCAAAAATAGAGCTTTCTTTCTGTGGTATTTGATCATCTCTGCGTTTTTTTTTTTTTGTGCGATAAACAAAAAAACTGACCATTTTGGGAAAAAAAAAACAATATTTTTGACTTTTGCTATAAAAAACATATCTAATAAAAAAAATATAAAAAATAAAATTTCTTCATAAATTTAGACCAAAATGTTTTCTGCTGCATATCTTTGCTAAAAAAAAAATCCCAGTAAGTGTATACTAATTGGTTTACTTGCAAGTTTCAGCGTCCACAAATGGAGTTGTATTTACTGGAATTTTTATTTTTATTTTTTTTTTTTATACTAGTGATGGCGGTGATCAGGACTTCCCCAGTGACACTAATAGAGTGATCAGTGATAATAAAAAGCACTGACACTGTACTAATGGCACTGGGCAGGAAGGGGTTAACATCTGGGGCAATCAAAGGGTTAACAGTGTGCTGTTGGGAGACATGCTGCTTTGTATTTCTCTGCTGTCACAAAAACCTCCAAAGACACTGGTTTGCTGATATACTGCGTTTTGCTGCATTGTTCAGCATTAGAGTGTTTCTACAGCTAAAAAACTCCTCTAAAAACCCAATAGTCCTTGTTTTTTCCAGCCAGAAAATGCCCCTGCCAAAAAACGTTTATTACAGTCACATAAACACATAGGATTACATGCTGGGGAGTTTACTGGCTGTAGAAAAAAAAAAAAAAAGCCAAAAACAGTATCTATGTCCAGTGTGCATGAGGACTATATAACCAAATGTAAAATGCCCCTTGCTGTGACACTGTTATTTACTTTGCAACACAGAAATGTGCAGCTGTGGGTGCTCCTAGTACTTAACCCCTGGTTCACATATATGCGGGCGTGTGGGCCGTGTTTTGCGCGGGCCCGAGAACCCATTCATTTGAATGGACTCCTGTGAAACCCCTTCATTTGAATGGACCACCCGCACAGATGTGAACCTAGCCTAAGACTTTGCTGTCAATCAGAAAATTGTTCATAGAGTTATTGTCACGTTAACTGACGGATATCAGCGCAACTAAACTTGGCCTAAGCGTCAACTGCATTGCTTGTATGATATATAGTCGAGTCATCTGGGGTGAATGAGGCTACACTTAATGTGGAGATACTGCAGCGTACCTGGCTGCCTACTGCTTACATACCTGTCCTATCACCTTGCTCATTATCAGTCCTGGGAATGCTGATTCTCTATAAACAGGCACTCTGCACACACAGTCAGCTATACAGCCACTAGAAGAAGAGGAGGAAGGGGCTATCTGGCTGCACCTTGGCGCCATATCTATAATCGCCTCTTTATGGCCTTGTTGATGCCAGTCTGATAGTGATGACAATAAAAACTTTGTGCATCAGCTCATGAGCGCCCCTCACTGATGCTTCTTCTGCCTTGCTTATAACTCTGTACCCAGGGGCATATTTACCACAAGGCAAACAAACCAGGTGTTCAACTTGGGTCCCATTTTTCAGAGGGGGACACTGGTTCTCAAAGCTGTGTAAATTTGAATGCTTATTGGATGTAAGCATATCAGGTGATGCGTATTTGTGTAATGACGGAGGGTGTGGCCTAAGGAGATCAACACCCTATATCAAGGGGTGCATAATGGTTAGGCAGCTTCTTTTCCTCAGGCATAATGGGCCAAAAAAGAGATTTAACTGACTCTGAAAAGTCAAAAATTATAAAAAGTCCTTCAGAGGGAGGCAGCACTCTTGAAATTGCTAAGATATTGGGGCGTGATCACAGAACTATCAAACGTTTTGTTGCAAATAGTAATCTGGGTCGCAAGAAACATGTTTGAGCAAAAAAGACGCAAATGAATTGCCAAAGATTTGAGAAGAATCAAACATGAAGCTACCAGGAACCCATTATCCTCCAGTGCTGTCATAGTCCAGAACTGCAACCTACCTGGAGTGCCCAGAAGTACAAAGTGTTCATTGCTCAGAGACACGGCCAAGATAACGAAGGCTGAAACCCGACCACCAATGAACAAGACACATAAGTTGAAGAATTATGAAGACTGAGCCAAGAAATATCTGAAAACAGATTTTTCAAAGGTTTTATGGACTGATGTGATGAGTGTCTCTTGACAGACCAGATGGATGGGCCTGTTGCTGGATCACTGGTCTCACTACGACTCAAGCGCCAGCAAAGCGGTTCTGGTATGGGCTGGTATTATTACTGTAATGTATACTATGATCACTGTATTAGTGTCACTGGTGATGTCAGTGTCAGTCAATTCCCACCCAGTGTTGGTTAGTGTCAGATTATACTGCTAGTATATAAATAAATAGAAATTCCAGTAAATATACCATTGTTTGTACACGCTATAACTTTCACACAAACCAATCAGTGTACACTTATTGGGATTTTTTTTTTTTTTTTTTACCAAAGACATGAAGCAGAATACATACTGGCCTAAATTTATGAAGAAATGTTATTATTGGATATGTTTTGTAGCAGAAAGTGTGTATATATATATATATATATATATATATATATATTCTAGAGAGAGAGCGAGAATATATATTTTTTTCAAACTTATTGGCCTTTTTTTGTTTTATACAAAAAAAAAAAATCAAATACCACCAAAAGAAAGCTCTGATTGTGGGAAAAAAAAAAATTATAAAAATTTAATGTGGGTACAGTTTTGCATGACCGCTCAATTACCAGGTACATAGCAAAAAAAAAAAACTCCTTGGCCATGAAGGGGGTAAAACCAAATACAAGGCAGTGGTGTAGTCCTCACGTGTGGTGGGTTGTGTGTGGTACTGTGCATGCACAGCTTTTTTTCCCCCTATAGACTGCATTAAGGAACTTGTCTCCTTGTATGCTTACAATGACATGGACTCTCCATTATATGAAAAGCTGAAAACAGAATCACCTTAAATATACATTTTTCAGGTTGTGCATGCATTTCAGATAATGTGTAAGCAGGGCTGCTGTTAGAAACCACGGGGCCCCGTACAGCCAACCTGACAGCCAAAAATGCTTTAGTTATGAATGAACACAGTGAGTGATTGGTAAACGTCAATCATTGTGTTTAATTAAGGAAAGGAAGGGGTTGCAAAATGTGACATATTTACCTGAAGGATCTTATTGTATGCATGCAGCTGACGGTGGAAAGGAGAGGAGGGAATCCAGCAGTACTGCGGGGGTGGGGGCATGCAGGGGGAAACATATGTTGGTGTACATGGAGGGTGATGGGTGCGGCAGGGGGACAATCACTGGAACTGATCCCCAGTATGGCTCTCTCTGCAGCAGCTGAAAGCCAGTGAGAGGGAGAGGAAAAGAAGCCAGCTTTCAACTGCTGCAGAGAGAGCCATACAGGGCATTGGTTCCTGTAACCCCCCCCCCCCCCCCCCCCCCCCCCCCCCCCCCCCCGCCGTGCCAATCACCCTCCCTGCCCACATCCAATTCTCCCAGCTGCCTGGCCCCCCCCTGCTTGACAATTCCTTCATCTGCCTTTATCCCAGAAGGATGGCACAACCTTTGTTCAGGCATCATCCAAGGTCAGCATCTGCATCTGTGGACTAAAATGCTGGAGAAGAGATGACACAATCTTGTAATTTTGTTGTCTGTGTAGTAGTGTGTATGTTCTTGGCTGTGCACATGCATGTTGTCTCCTGTAGCTCTAGTTGCTGTTCGTCACCTTGAGAACTGCAGTGATTATTGATTTTTAACTGTTAGACCCATTTTATTTTATTT